GTGGAAGGCAACCGTGCGATGCTTCTCTCTCCCTTCCTCTCTCTAAAATCAATAAAAACCTATCCTCAGGGGAGTATTTTAAACATTCAAAAAGAAAAGAACATAAACTAGTGTGTCTTTCATGAAAAGGAATGTGGTGAACTCTGCCAACATTTAAAATGCAGAAAACTTTTTACTCAGCAATTTCCCTTCTAGTCACTGGTCCTACAGGTGCCGTCCACAGGACGACATGAACGGGTGGTCATTACAACAGGGCCTGTAGCAGCAGGCGGGTGGGAACAGCCTGCGTGTTCATCACCGGGGAACTGGGAGCCGGTTAAACAAGCTGGGATACGCCCAGACAATGGTCCGCTGTGAGGCTGTGAGGAAAATGAGAGAGAGCCAGGTAGACCCATATGGAATGACCTTCAAAATATATTGTCGAGTGAAAATAGTAAGGTGCGAAACAGTGAGTATGGTATGCTTTGCATGAAAAAAGTGCATGTGTGGGGATAAAATTTATGCTATGTAAATGGACATGCATTCATATATGTTTGTAAATGCATCAAATCTGTCTAACAGATACATAGGCAGCAGTTTGGTGATTATCAGGGGGCGAGGGGCAGGGAGGGGTAGGCGAGGGAAAAGGGGAGATAAACGGTGATGGTAAGAGACTTGACTTGGGGTGGTGAACACATAATGCAATATACAGCTGATGTATTGCAGAATTGTGCACCTGAAACATATAATTTTATTAATCAATGTCACCCTAAAAATTCAATTTAAAAAAAAGAATATTTCTGACAGAATATACTGGTAGCAGTTGGGCTGAAGAGAAGTGTTAGAATGAAGGAGGGAGATTTATGTTTCATTGTTTACTTTGAATCATCTTTGTACATTACACATTCAAAAACATATTTAAGAATAATTTTATAGATATACAGAGAGAGAGTGATGAAGGGATGGTGGTAAAATGTTAATACTGAAGATCTGTTGGTGAAGAGTATATTTTTGTTTTACTATTTTGAAGCTTTTCTGTATGTCTGAGATGATTTTTTTTAAAAGGCTTTTTATTGATATAAATTTAACTTCTAAATAAATATATATTCTCACAACCATCCTTTTATCCCTTTTTTTTTTACCATTGAGGACATTGATACCCAGAGTTTCTGTGGCTTTATTAGAGTAAATAAGGAATTTTTTTTAAATAAGTAAATATTTTTGAGTACCTAATACATACCAGACCCAGTGCTAGACACCGAGGATACAAAAGTGAAACGAAAACAGGAAAAAAAAAAATACCCATGTGTAATACACGGTCTGGTGGCAATAAGTGCACGAGGAAAAGCAACGCAGAGTAGAGGAAGGAACGGTGGGTGGTGAGCTTTAGAGGGGGTGCCCGGGGGCCTGTCTGGGGAGGTGGCCCTGGAATCGAGTGTGTGAGGAAGAAGACCTGGAAGCAGAGTGTCAGGGAGAGGGAACAGTGCGTGCAAAGGCCCTGAGGCAGGAGCTTGCCTTGTGAGGATGAGGAACAGTGAGGACACCAGTGTGGCTGGAGCAGGTCACGGAGGGAAGAGTGGAGATGAGGTCAGAGGGAGCAGACAGTAGGACCTGTATGTAGGTCATGCAAGGACTTGGTTTTACTTTAAATGAGACGGAAGCCATCGAAGGATGACATGGTCCCTCTGGCATGAAAGAATCCCTCTGGCTGCTTTTGTTGTGGAGAACAGACTGCACCAGGCAAAGACGGAAGCAGGGGGACCAGCGAGGAGGCTGCTCAAATAACCCAGCCAAGAAGTGACGCTGGGACCGGGCGGGCAGCAGTGGGGTGATGAGAGGTGGCTGAACGCGGGGCGTGTCCTGAAAGTAGGCCAACAGAGTTTGCCACTGGGTTTAGACAAATCCCGGAACTTTTTCTCTCCAGTGAGGGACTCTTGGCTTCTCTCTGAACAGAGTGAGGTTAGATTGTTGAGACCCAGCCCCCAGTGTACTTGCTCACACCCCTGCCCGCACGGGGAAGGTGGGGGCCCAGCGTTCTTTGATGTCACAGCCCAGCGTGCTCAGCCCGGCCTCACCCGCTCCACCAGCCCCAGGGGAACACCCGCCCCTCAGCCAACTGGCAGGTGGACCTAACGAGGTACTAAGAAAATGTCAGATCCAGGCCTTTTTGGAAATTGTGGAGCTAATTTTAAAATACGGTGTCCCTTGCCCTGGCCGGTTTGGCTCAGTGGATAGAGCATCGGCCTGCGGACTGAAGGGTCCCAGGTTCGATTCCGGTCAGGGGCGTGTGCCTTGGTTGCGGGCACATCCCCAGTGGGTGGTGTGCGGGAGGCGGCTGATCGATGTTTCTCTCTCATCGATGTTTCTAGCTCTCTATCCCTCTCCCTTCCTCTCTGTAAAAAA